GGTGGGGGTGTCTTGGATGTCAGTGGGGACGAGAGGGTGTGAATGTGTGGGTTCCCTCGGGGAGAGTCAGAGGAGGAATTGACGGAGGGTGAACGGGAAGGACGTCCTCTACCTGCCGGTGGGAGCAGCAGCAGGGTGCCTGTGAATGTTTGTGTGCGTGACTGTGTCGCAGTAAAGTGGGGAGGTGCCTCAAAGGCGCTCAGAGCTGGTAAAGCTGAAGTGCCACGGGGCGCCTGGCTTCCTCTCCTGGGGTGCCTGGCAAGGACAGTGGGAGGTTCCTGGTCTTGGGGACTGAGGGGCTTGGAAATGGAGATGGGGCTGCCCTTGGGGGGGCGGGGGCAGGCCGAAGTATTATGGTGGTGATGGACACGGGGAGGTACGGTGGGAGACAGGGAGTGGGCCGTTCCGGGGAACACAGGACCCTTGTTTGGTTCCAGGCTCATGCTCCAGCCCTCCGGCTTCCAGCTGCTGCTTCTGAATGCCAGGTCAGTCGGCCATAAGGCTGCCCTCGTCAGTGATTGAATCCGTGATGAGCGGGCCGGCCTGGCATGTATCACCAAGTCCTGGCTGGATCTGCAGGGGGGTTGCCCTTTTGGAGTTACGCCCAGTTGGGTTTTGGGTGTGGCGTCAGCCGAGATCCCAGGGTGGGGGTGGAGGTGCGGCACTTGTCATCCGAGAGCCCCTTACCATTGTGTTGGTTGTTGTTTCTTCTTGTTTTGTGTTTATATAGTCTGGTGTATTGAGAGGTGCCCTGAATTGTTTGGAATCGGGTGTCATCAAATAGAACAGAATGAATAAATAATAAATAAGTTGTAGTTCCCCATTGTGGACGAAATAAGGAATGCTATATCAGGAGACCGGAGGTGTAGAGCGGAGGAAGTGTAGAAAGTCAAGGAGGGACTTTGCTCAGCCGCCTAAATCTTGCAGTTGCAATGGCTGTGTAGATTTTTTTTTTTTTAATGTTTCTGCAAGTCAAAACCTTTTTGGCTCCGGGCAGGGAAGCCGCTCAGCTTCTTTTGTGTCTCAGCCCTGAAAAAAACCGTTGCTTCTTTGTCCTAAATGCAGCGCTGCTGGTGGCAGAGCCCATTAGAGATTTAGCAGCTGCTTTGTTATATTTGGGGTTTGTGGGCTGAAATTCTAAGCAAATGAAGTTTAGGCAGCGCTATTAAAACGCTCTCGCTGCCCAGTAATTCTGAAAGCAAACTTGGTGTCATTGCCAGACACGGAAGGTATTTTATTTTGGCTAGAGAAATGGGTGGATCAGCTGACCCCGTGGATCTATGCTGACAGCTTGTACGTATCCATTGCAGTCTTGGACACAGAAGTGGCAGTAAAAATGGGGGCAGGGGGGACACGGTGAGCATTCGCTTAATCGATGGAATGAGGGCTCCCAATGTCTTTATGACCCAGATGCCTCATCCTTAAAACGACCCTCAAAAGTGAGAACATATTTGCCATCTGCCATTACTTCTGGATATCCTGGCAGGCCATTGTGTTCCATGGAAAAAATGGATGGTATTAGTTTGGTCTGGTCCAGTTCCATGGACGTGTCACTTGGTGACCTCTCTTTTAAAAATGGGGGATGAACTAATTGTTTCTCTATTAGAAGTTGCCTGATTTGATATGCCTAAAGCATCTCTGAAGAGGAGCAGGTGACTATTCTCGCCACCCAAAGAAAAGTCACGGCCAGCCGCCTCCCTGGGTGAATCTGCTTCTTCTTGACAAGGACAACCTAGCTGTAAAAGTTTGAGGAAGAACCTTCTCCCCACCCAGTCAGACCATTTCAGAAAGACTACCTGTCAACATGCCATTACTGCTAAATGTAGCTGAATGTAGTAACTGTCCAGAAGCAACCAGCATGTGCCATTTTTCTGTTACCAGAGCCCACTCTTCTTTGCATCCAGTTATAGCTTCCCAGACTTCCATGTGAACAGCCAAGGGCATCTTCGCATGTGGGGGAGAGAAAGTAAGAGATGCAGGAGGTCCTCTGCAGAAGGCCACCTCTGTTAAGTCTCTCAAACATGTAAGAAATTCATTCATTCATTCAGATGAAAGGGCACCTGGGACTTTCATTTGTGACACACAAGTAATAGAATAAGACTCGGATATTCTGTACCAGTCAGGAGGAAATCTACTGAAAGTCACGAACAAATGTATTTAATTAAGGTGGCTGGACCACAAACTCTTGCAAACTGTTTTGGAAAAATCTTAGTTTGGAGAAATTAAGGCAGAAGATGCCGTATTTCTTATTGTGAGGGAGGATTTTAAAAAAATCATCACATCACGTTTATACAATAGATTTTATACTTCTGCAGTTTAAATTAGATTAGAATGTGGAAGGAGTTTTGTCTCTTTCTTTTACTGAAAGGTCAGACCCCCCCAATGGAAAAAAAAAAGTTCCTGGGTACCATTTTATTAGTTTTAGGACAAATTGAAAGTTGGCAGACAAAACTAGGCAATCTGGTATTGCAAAAGTCTTTCTTGTTAACCTGGAACAAAACTTTAATTACATTTTAATGCATTTTCCAGACTATGGCTATATTTAAATGTATCGGCAAACCAACATCCAATGGTAGTTTTCTATCCTAATTTATGCAAGTTGTATTTTGATCCTAGAAATTTCCTCCTCTTCTGCAAAGCCAAAGGAAAGTATAGAGACCAACCAAAACCTTTAAAGCTTGTAATGCTAAACTAGGAGAGCCAGTCTGATGGAGTGGTCAAGGCACCAGGCTGGAAACCAGGAGACCCTGAATTCTAGTCCTTTCTTAGGCTTGAAAGCCAGCTGGGTGACCCTGGGCAGTCCCTCTCTCTCAGCTTTGGGAAGGAGGCAAGGGCAAACTACTTCTGAAATCTTGCAAGAAGCTGCAGGGACTTGTCCAGGCAGTAACCAGGAGTCAACACTGACTTGAAGGCACTGAAAAAAAAAATGCCAAACTAGAGAGCCACTTTGGCATTGTGGTTAGAGACACTGGACTAGAAAACAGACTATGTATTGTAGTCCTGCTTAGGCACAAAGCCTAGTAGGTGACTTTGGGCCAGTCCCTCCCTCTCAGCCCTAGGAAGGACAGAGGTGTCTCCTAAAAACGTTGCCAAGAAAATTGCATGGACTTCCCAGGCAGTTGCCAGGAATCAAGACTGCAGAAGAAGAAGGAGAAGGAGAAAGAGAAGAAGGGGGAGGGGGAAAAGAAAAGAAAAGAAAAGCAAGTGAGAAAAGAGCCAAATTGAGATTTGATGACTATTTGTAGGATGGTTTTTTTTGTATTGTTATTATAAAGTGTGTGTTTTCAAGATGTGAGAGAGGCCAACTGGCAAAGGCTCAAACACTGTTCATAAAAAGAGGAATGAAAAGGAGTTTGGTTTTACATGGCTTTGAGTTCTGAAGAGCTTGCCTTTTGCTGGCTCTGGCTTGGGTAGCACTTGGCATCTCATTTTCCTGACTGGGTTACAGTGTCGTTTACAACTGTGTGACATGGCAGAAGTTCAGTAGGTGAAGTTATTCTCATCCTTATGTCTGCATCGTGAGATGGCTATGTAGCTCCTGCTGACTTTGCCTCTTCCTTCAGGCTGCTGGGGGACATAAGTAGGCAGGAGCCCTTGTGCTCACTGTGTGCACACCTAACTGGAGCATGATCCCTGCCTTTTTTTCCTGCAATCACAGAATCATATCTTAGAATCATGGAGTTGGAGAGATTGCAAGGATCATCGAGTCCAACCTGCAATATGGGGGAAAATCAACTAAGGGACAGGGCTTTTGCTGGTGTGTGTGTGTGTGTGTGGGGGGGTGAGATTAGCAATATTTTCCTCCAGAATTTGAGTGGTACTTTGAGGCCCTGAGTCAGAATGCTGTAGCCACCTTCTCCAATCTTGTGCTTTCCAAATGTGTTGGATCTCAAGTTCCATAATCCTCAAATAATTTGTTAATTATGATGAGTGGAGATTACAGGAGCTGAAGATCAACGTACCTAATAGCACCAGGATAAGGAAGGCTGTTCTAAATCATTGATAGCTTGGCTTTAACAAGCTGGTGGGCAGTCCATAACTCAGAGACAGAAGAACATTTGCTTTCCTTGCAGAAGGCTCCAAATAGAGCTCCAGGTAGATGGATCAGGTCGCAGTTGATGGGAAGACCCTTCTCTCCCTTGTGTTCCATCAGAAGAGGCAGTCTAGAAGCTCTGAGGCAGCTTCCCAGATTGCTAACCGTAACAGTGGTCTCAGTTCTGGATCCAATTCTTTTATGGTTGGAGTTGTAACATACTTTACATATGCTCTTTATTTTCAAACTCATAGTGGGTCATGGGATTCATTCCAAGAATCAATAGAGAATTTCTGTGGAAAGTCAGTTGCCCAGCATTAACTAGTGTGGTTTGAATCTGTGGCTTCTAATTGGAAGGTGTTGGTGAAACTGCTGAAATGTAGAGGAGTATGCCACTACAAAGCAGTAAGTTGGGCAGTGATTATGGAGTCACTGTGGATATTTATGAAATCAAGCCTCATGTAGGGAAAGTAGGTAGAGAAGTTTCAGGCTTCTCATGATGTTAGAACTTGGGGTCCTCAATATTTCTTCCCACAAAAACAGAAGTTAGAGAATTCTAACTGCAAGAAGTGCTGTTGGTTAAGATGGCTTTAAAGGGGGATTAAGGCAGTAGGTGGGGGTCGTTGCTGGGATCAACAATGGGCTGTTGCTCTCCTTTCTTGTTAATAACCTTTTTGGGAATTAGCCTTGCAGGAACCTGGGCTGAATGAACCTTCATTCTGATCCGTCAGGCACTTTCAGAACTTTGTATTGCTTCTAAACACATTCTCCCTTCAAGATCATCCTGTTCAATCAATGAAGCATAGAGAAATCCAGAAGCTACCACTAAACTGGATGTAGCTTGTCACACGTGCACACACATGTATATACAGTAGCTTGTAATCTCTCTCTCTCTCTCTGCTGTACAAGAGGACAGGAAAAAAGGTTAAGTAAAGTCATCTGCTTCTTCATAATTTTTGCTTATTAGATCTATTCTGGGCCTCCTGAAGACAATGCTGCGCCTCCTGTACCACCTCCACGGGTGGCCACTCGAAGACATAAGCCCATCACCATTTCCAAGCGTCCTCTGAGAGAGAGACCCATCTTCTTCGGAGGTTCTGTGGAAGAAAGTGAAGGTTGGTTCTAGTAGAGCTGTTCCCAGTGTTCCCATGTTGGATGCCACAAATCCTTTCATCAGCAGATGTTGGGTCTTCATTAGGATCAAGTTCTAATGGTGTTGGGTGAAGGGGTGAGTGCCGTTATATGTGCTGGTATGCCAGATGAGGTATGCATTTTTAGAGAAATTGAAGAGGAAGTCAATGGAACCTGGAAGACTGGCTGTTTACTTGCAAAAGTTTCTGAAAAGGAAGTTGTCACTCCACACTGCCTGACAAAAAGCTTTTGAAATTTGAAAGCAATTATGAGCTCTAGGTTTGTCGTGCAACAGATCCATAATGCTGTTGCCATAATTTCGCCATAAGGCTAAAGGGCATTGATCCTGTTGCTTATCTAGACTTTGGGGGTGTGCAGTGAGTGACACAGGAGGTTGAATGTTGCTATTCAAACATGCAAATTGGACTCGTTTTGTTTTGTTTTGTTTCTGTTTGCACTTGGAGCAAAGAGTTGCTGAAATCTGGGGACCAAGATTCAGTGCATTGTTAATTTCTAGCACTCGATAGGAGGATTGTTCTGTTCTTCTGGGATGCTGTAGCACTAAGGTACAGCAGCAGCCAGTTACCACTTGAATTGTCACTTTGGAAATCTCTGGTTCCTTTTTACAATCTGAGCCTCTTTTCCTGACCAGACCCATACTCTCTGTTCTTCAACACTCAAATATTTCAAGGGCCCATTTATTCCATAAAAAGTTTGAAGTTGTAGGAGAACATCTATTCCACCTGACTTGCAAATAGAATCTTTGTGGGGGTGACTGGGGAGGTTCTTGGAATAATCTGCCTACAGCCAGCGCTGGGGTTTGCGTTGCAGCTTTGCTAAAAGAAGAGGGAAGAGGGAAGTGTGCCAGAACATGCAAGCAACTTAATCATCATGTGTGCAAGAGTTGGGCACTGTAATAGCTGCCCCATGGGAGGGGCTCCGAGAGTAATTGAAGTTAATGCCCTTTCCTGGCCTTGCTGGCTTGTGAAAAGGCGAAAGATTTATACGATCTGAAGAGAAACCAGAGTATCTGGCTTGTGGTACCTGACAGTTCTCTCCCCCAGTTGTCTTGTAGGATGGGCAAAAGAACCCAGCTCTTCTGACCCGTGATGGATGGGGCAAAAATGAATTTGAATTTAATCGTGCATTCTTCCTTCCTGCCCCCCAGCAGCTTCTGAAAACAGTGTCCCCCAAATCTTATTAATGATGCCAAGACTGTATTGCGTCACCAAAGAGCTAAATGAAAGCACAGTCAAGATCCTGAAGCTCCCAAACCCCACAAACACATTTCCTGTTTATTACATCATTCTTGCTGCTGCTTTTTATATACTAATTTTGAGACTTACAGATTTGGATAAAATATTTAAGGAGTACTTTATAACACTATAATAGGGAAATCCACGAGTATTGCAATCTTTACATAGAAGTTTTAGGTGGCTTTATTTTGGGGAATTGAAAGGCCAAAAGTTCCTTCAGCCTGCCTCCACAGGGCATGTCCTCATCCTCATTGCCCTCGCTAACTTGTCAATCACCTTCTGGAAATGGGACGTTCATATACAATGTGTAGGCTCAGAAAAGGTGAGAGGAAGTCTCTGAACTGGATTTTCCCTTTCTGAAGGAACCAAGATTGCCAGCTGAATAGCCGAGAGTCACTGTCCAGGTTAACTAGAGAATATCAGATGCAATCAGATGGGGTTTTGACAGCAGATTAATAAGATACAGTTGCAAAGACGTCAAATGAAAAATCAAGAAACTGGCCATCAGCTTGATTTTATGATGTCAGTGGGGCGTGTGTGGCTTCCATTGTCGTCTTTGCAGAGGCTTCCCCTGTTGGTGACTTGCCTAGGTGCCTCTAAGAAGTGGCTATTATTTTGGGCTTTCCTTTAGAAGAGGACAGCTGTGCTCTGACTCCCAATGGCGTAATTGTTGCCCCTGGCCCTGATGCTCCTAAGCCACTCCAGCGTAGCAGACTGCAGAGACCGGGAGAACTTGACCCAGGAAGGCCCAGCTCAGAAAACTGTGGGACAGCGGAGCCATGTGTAGAGGTGGATGTCGGGAAGCTGGTATCCAGGCTCCAGGAGGGAGGAGCAAGAACTTCCAGCAAACCCACAAGCAGCGCCATGCTGACTCCAAATTCTCTGAAGGCCGCCAGCCTGCACACCAAGAGACCTGCTCCAAGACCTGGGGCAGGCTGCAAAGAAGGTGAGCCTGCGGGGTGTTTTTCCTTTTGCAAAATAGGTTGCATCCAGGTATTTTGCCCTTAGCAGATCCCACTGCTCTTTGTTCTGCAGTACAGTTCAAACTAAACTTGGGATGAACCGTATGCTCATTGTCTTTTCATCCTCTGAATCAGAATCACAGCTGGGAGATTAACTAAACATTCAGTCAGTCAGTCAGTCAGTCATCCATTTTATTTAATTTGTAAAATTAAATAAATTAAATTTATTTAATCACCTTTCTACTTGATGAGCATTCAAGGAAGCTAATAAAATTTTAAACAAAAACAATATAAAACATTACAAACACATATCAAAATTAATAATATAAGTTCTGAATCATCTTAAGTAAACATCTGGTGAAAAATATGGGTTTTCTAAATGCTGAGGGAATGAGAGCCAGTTGCTGTTCTCAAGAGCATGTGGTCTGTATCCTTGGAGAAGGTCTGTTCCTGCATGCCAGAAGGACAGGGAAGACATTTTCAAGAGAGCTTTTTCTGCAGATGTTAACAGCTGGACAGGTTCCTTCTAGGAGAAGCAGTTCATTAGACCTTAAGCATTTAGGGCTCTGAAGATAAATAAAGACGTAAAATTGTGCTTAGTAAGCATTTGGCAACTAACAGATATTTCAGGACAGGCCTCATATAATCTCTGTATTTTGCACTGGTTAGCAATTTAGCTACTGCATTTTGTATGAATTGTAATTTCTGGATACTTTTCAGGGATAGCCCCCCATAGATCTCATTCTAGTAATCGTGGCAAGAATGTGGATTAAATGTCACCAATTCCAACTGGTTTAGGAAGGTTCACAGGTGACACAGCAGCCTGCATGGGGCAAAATTGTGCAAATACAGGAGCTGAAGACCCAGATGCCTTTCTAAACTGACCCTCCTTGTTGAGAGGAAGTACATCTTCATCCAAAATAGGCTGAACCTTAATTTGCAAATACATTTCCTATTTATTTGGGAATCTCCATCTTTTCTGGAATAGTTTCTACTTGTTCTCTCTCATCCAGCCTGTTAACAGACTGGCAACATTCAAGGATATCAATTGGTTCCTTGAAATTGGATAGGAAGAAGTTCAGGGACATCTGTGGGGGCTGGTCATAATCTGCAAGATGGCTGGCTTGGTGTTGTGATCAAAGCCCCACCTCTTCTGTACGCGTGTGCACACACATGCACACACACACACAGGTGTCCCTTAAGTATGCCCTGCTCCAAGCCTCCAAGTGTCTTCTCTTTAACTTGCATGGAAATGTTGAGTAGCAGGGGGAAATAGCAAGTTGGACAGCATTGAGTCTCAAACTGTCATAATGGGAATCGATGCATCTTGGTCACCCCAAGGTATACAGACCCCTTTCTTTTCTTTTTTTTCAAATAACTTTATTAGATTTTAAGATAAGAACAATAAAAACTAACTAAAACTAATATTAAATATAAAGAATGAAAATGGAAGGAAAGAATGAAAAAGAATAGAGAGAACAAAGAAGTGCAGAAAGAAAGAAGAAAAAGGAAGGCAGGCAGGCAGGCAAAAAAGAATGACTTCCAATTTTCCTCACAATAGATATAAGTATCAGTTTACACTGAACTCTTACTCTAAGTTTACAACATAACTTTCATTTTTTCTCTTGTCCACTATTAAGTGTAATCATCAAATCCGTACATCATAATTTCTTTTTTTTCTGTTTCATGCAAAAGGTCCAAAAAAGGCTTCCAGTTAGCATTAAAATTACTCAGTGTCTTTTTTCTAATCAAAGCTGTCAGTTTTGCCATCCCAGCCAACTCCATCATCTTCACCATCCATTCTTCCATTGTAGGTAATGTCAAATCTTTCCACCTTTGTGCATATAAAAGTCTTGCTGCTGTTACCATATATAAAAACAATGCATTTTTTCCATCAATCGCAAAAAAAAAAAGGCTCTGGTTTCAATTGTATATTAATCTTTAAAACCTTCTGAATTAAAATACGTATTTGATTCCAAATTTCTTTAGCTTTTTTACAGGTCCACCACCGTGATAGAAAGTCTCCGCTGGTTGTTCACATTCCCAACATAAATTTGAAGTACCTTTATGCATTTTGGAAAGGTTTTTTGGTGACATTTTTTGGTTTTTTTGGTGACATTTTGGTGACATTTTTTGGCTTTTTCGTTTTATAAAAATTCTTTTCAAGATTGTAACACTGTAAATTTCAGTCCTTTCATCCACATATTCTCCCATTATTCCATTGGTATATTATACCCAAAATTTTTAGCCCAGTTTATCATACATTCTTTCACTTGTTCTTCTGTTTCTAATTTCAATAAAAGTTTATACAACTTAGCAATAACATGTTCATCATTAGTACATAATTCTGCTTCAAATTCAGTCTTACCGTGTTCAACTAAACTAAAGTAGTTCTTTTATCTACTTTAAATATTTCTAGTAATGGTACATGTGAAAATCCTTGACATATATAACCTTCTGAAGTCAAATCCGCTCTTGATTTTATTTTGAAGTCCTCCTGAGAAAATTCCAATACATCACCATAAGTTAACCATTTATGCTGTTATCATTTCTCTTCTATAAAAAGCTTCTTGTGGTGACAAACATAAAGGAATCTTCGGGGACAACCTAGTTTTATATCCGTTCCATACTCTCAGTATGGCACATCTAATAAAGTGATTTTTAAAATCTACATTAACTTTATCATACCATAAACAGCCGTGCCACCCAAATCTCAAATCATGCCCTTCTAATTCCAGTAACCTCCTATTTCTCAGAGTCACCCAATCTTTCATCCAAACTAAACAACAAGCTGTAAAATACATTTTCCAATCTGGTAGACCCTAACCTCCTCTTTCTTTAGCATCTTGTAACATTTTGTACTTATTTCGCAGTTTTTTTACCTTGCAACACAAATTTATATATACCTTTATGCCATTGTTTAAATGGAGCATCAGTTGTCACAACAGGTTTTGTCTGAAACAAAAATAGCATTTTAGGTAAAATATTCATCTTAATCACAGAAATTCTTCCCAACAATGACAACTATAATTTTTCCCTCGTAACTTACCTTTTTAAATTTCATTCCATGTCTTAATGTAATTATTTTGGAACAGCATACAATTTATATTTGTCAGATTAACATCCAGATATTTAACATTTTTTTCAGTCTTCAAACCTGTTTTGTTCATCAGTTCTTCTTGGTCTTGTATCTTCATGTTTTTTGTTAACATTTTTGTCTTTTGTTTATTAATCTTAAAGCCAGCTAAAGCACCAAATTCTTTTAGTTTTCTCATTAAAACTTTGATCCCCTTTAAGGGATCTTCCAGCACCAACACCAAATCCTCTGTGAAGGCTCTCAACTTACAAGTCTCTTTTTTAATTTTTATACCCATTTCTCCTCTCATCGTGCCTCATATCTCTGTTCAGGACTTCAAGAACTAAAATGAACAAAAGAGAGGATAGCGCCATGTTTTTCTCCTTATCACTTTGGTAATGGTCTGGCCTCTCTCTGTCAAGGCCATCTTCCTTACTCTCTACATCAGCATCTGCAACAACTCCAGACACTGCCCCTGGAGCCCCAAAATTATTTTTTTTAAAAAAATCATATTTAAGACTGCAGAAATGTTGCAAGTTTGGCAAATCCCACAAGCGTTTGGTCATGTTTCTATTCGTGTGTTACTGGCATTCACGCTCTAGTGTGAAATCCCTTAATGAAAAGATGGCTGGTCTATGCTATAGACCGAGTCCTAGTCCTCAACTTACTTTACTGAAGGGCAGACTTAAAAATAGGACCCCAGAAGGGCCGCTGCAGACCCTGCCCACCATTTTGCTCAATCCTGCTGGAACTATTTCTCACATTACATGCTCAGGCTCTAATGATATCTCATTTTTCATTCTCCAGGAGATTTTTTTTTTTTAGCGTTTTTCAATATTTCTTTAAAATATTGTATGTAAGCTACTATGTAGGATAAAGCCATAACAAGACAACTTCCATTGTACAAACCCAAAATCATCATTACAAAATAAAAGGACAAGATCACCATAAAATGTAAAAATATCATAAAAACAGCAGGAGCAGTGAAGAAGTAGCAACTATTAAATAGCATCCCGCTCAGTGTGATATCATTAAGACAGATGGCAGAACTAGGTTAAACATCATTTATCTGATACAAGACATGATGAAGTGACACACATTATGACAATGTTGAGCGGATGATGCAAACCACATAATTTGCAGCATGCCTGGTGGTGTTCCCTTGCCCACCTGCCCACCCACCCCATAACAAGATAACTTCCGGACGCTTCATCGTGCATCAACATATGATGAAGTGTCCGGAACAGCTGTGCAACTTGCAAACGTGTGGCCCTCTCAACTCCGTTAGGAGAGAATGTCATGGTTCTGCCACAGTTAAACCATCTTCCCGTGTATGGTGGTTCAGACAGGGTGATCCTGAAATGCTGAGCACTAAAAAAATGCAGGCAGTCTGCTTTAAGCAGTCAATGAATTGCAAATAGTTCATAGTTTGGATTGATGGTATAAAGTAGCTCCGAGGTGGGTTTTGCTTGTTTACATTTCTGTGTTTTCAGTTTTTGCAGATTGACCGCACAATAGGAGCCATTTCAGACTCGGGAGTATTCCCAGCCTCCCCCTTTGTCTGCCACCGTGTGCTTGTTAGCGCTCGCTTCTCTTTCTGGTGGCTAAGGGTTTGCGCGGCTGCAGCGAGACGTCGTTTCAGTCTGTCGGCATATTTCAGATGATACTATTTTCAACACGTAATTTGTGTTCTGCCGCCGCTTGTTGGCCGCCCCCTTGCCGTGGGTCTCGTGCAGGGGTGGAAAATGGCCCCGAGGCCTCTCCGCTCATGCTTCTCCCGTTCCTGCAGTTCAGCTCCTATTTTTTCAACTCAGGTGAATATGAGAGCTTCACGAAAGTGCGGCTGCCTGGAGAGAAACCGGTCATCACGCGTCCTCCGATGCGACCCCCAGATCCCCCCTGCAAGGCTCCTGTACCACAGAAGGTGGAGCCGAAGGCGGACCTGGTGGTGGGAACGGCAGCAGAAGTCCCCTCCTCAGTGTAAGTAGCGGCAGAGCAGAAGAAGTGGCAGAGGGTCCAGCCCTCCGGCTGGGTTGGAAGGCAG